TGGAAAAAGAAGCCACCCAAACATCAATGATGACGACCAATGAAGAAGAATGTGTGAGCCGACCAACCATAACCTGTGTGCAACTGTGATCCAAAGTGTGGCTTAATTTTAATAAAATAAGAGTATATCATGCAAAAGAGGGTGCATAACCAACATGATTAAACCCCGCTCTGGTGTCCATCTTTTGACGCGCTGCAGCAGCCTTCGCTGACATTCATGGACAAGTAAAACAATGAAATATGTTGAATGCCAACAATAAGGCAGCTAACAAGTTATACTACTGTAATATCAGCTCAGTAACATGTTTACCTGCAGCATCAGTAACTAGTATGTGTCAACGTGTTTTCATGAAGTTTTTAAAAATAAATCAGAAAGTGTTGTAAAAATTGTCCATCTAAACAAATCTTACAATATTACAGCATATCCAGCCAAAGCCAAGATCAAAAATACTTTTTGGCTGGATATATGATTATAAGATTGTATGATTGTACCTCATTTAAACCATGTAAACATTTTTGACCCTGCTTCTAAAAGGAATCAGATTTGGGAACCGTTGGGAACCAGAATTGTTCCAATTTAAAAATGCCCAACCAACCCTACCAATCACACAGTTGGGGCGAAAAGTTTGGCCCGGGCCTTGTGACACAAAGGGGTGGGCGACACAAGGTTGAAAACAAAATGACACAATTTTCATCACACAACTATGTTGCAGAAGCCTTAAGCTGCTAAATCCACCCAAAATTTGCTCATATTTTTCAGATGGGTTACAGACAACCCCGATGACTGATTGTTCTGATGAAGAATCTGTTTTTTGAACATCTTTTAAAATTTCTGTGTGACCAAAGTGAGGCAGTACAACTCACACAAATGAATGCTTGTTTGTGAATCCAATTCACAATTTGTCRCCAACAATCATAGGCCAGTGAGATACTGACTTAAAGCAGAAAATAAGAAAAATCTCAACAAAAAGTCTGTTAAAAAACTGAACTGTAGCCAGATACAACTTTGTTCTAAAAACAGGTATGTGAAATAAGCCATAATCAGCTATTTAAAACTTTATACATTTGTTGTATATGAACACAGGTGKTTTTTTGTGTCTAATTAATAAAAATATTCATAGTCATTTGCTACTGTACTCACTCAAACATTCAGGCCTTTGAGCTTGTTGATAGTGTCAACTGGTCACTAACCGTCATAGTCCACCTACTTGAAAGATCAGAGGCATTCACCCATAATGCACAGGGGCATGTTTGCTAAAAACCACCTCATACCAACTGTCAAGCACA